GCTGTTTTTCTACCGAAGGCCATGGCTTCTTTTAGGCAGTTCTCTCTTACAGCTCTTGATGATATTAGAGTGTTTCAACAATTACTAAGTGAATCCTCAAGTAAGACTTACCCCAGAATCACCTTACCCTATTAACCATGTTTTTTTTTTTCCCCCCCTGTTAAGCTGCAAAATTTTGCCATTTCATTCTGGTCACCAATCTTTTTCCTTGTAATTCAGAAAAGATTTGGGAGCAGTTACCACCGCACTCAGTCTTTCACCAAACATCCTCCCACAGAGGCCCAGTTAAATTCTAGATAGCACTGAACATTTTATCCTTAGGGTCTCTGGCCTCCTAGTAGATGGAGGAAGCTGTGGCAATTTATCCACAGCTCCTGCTCCTCCTGATTACCTGATGGGTAATTCCTCACTCCTGGCTTCTGCAGGGTCAGCTCTTTCCTGAGGTTCAGCTCTCTCAATCAACTCTATATGTTTGCACAGTATAGGTAGATGCAGGAATCATCTATACAATAACTTTTTTATTCTAATTAATTGGATGTGTGTCTTGTTATGGCCTGCTTGTGGTCAAGAATTGTATTTTAATGCTTCGAATCCTAAGAACCTAGCAGTGTTTCGACATTTAGTAATCAATCATTTAATCCTATTGAATAAAAAATTTCCAAATCTTGACCTTCATGCCAGCATTGTCAATGTTATAACGATAAACTAGCTCATTCTAAGCATGTTCGGGTGAAACTGAAATAGAAATTTAAAAACTTGGAATAAATTCAATAAAATTATACATTATGGTTACAATGATATATGTATGTATGTAGAGGAGAGGTGAGAACAAAGAAAATTGAAAATAGATTGTTTTAAAACAAAAGAACCTCATAGACACAGACAACAGTATGGTGGTTACCAGAAGGGAAGAGGGTAGGGAGAGGATGAAGAGGGTAAAGGGGGTCAAATATAGTGATGAAAGGAGACTTGACTTTGGGTGGTGAACACACATTGCAATATGCAGATAATGTACTATAGAATTCTACACTTAAAACTTATATAATCTTATTAATCAATGTCATCCCAATAAATTTAATAAAATTTAAAAAATGATAAAATAAAAACATATTCCACCTTGAAAAAGAAAATATATTGCTTTAGGGTAGTAAAGTTACTGGATAACTTTAATTTCCTTTGCTTTTAAAAACATTATTTTAAAAGAATATGTGAAATGAATATCAGGTTGGAGAAAGAAAACTTAGAAGAAAATGATAAGTGCATAATGATAATGATTAAAGAGCTGTGATAAAGAGAGTTAGAAATCAAGTGGTTTCTGGCTTGCAGAATTTGAAAAGAGCCTCACGTGAGGAAGTTGATCTATGAAGGATGATGACCATCTCCACTAGGGACCAGACAGGAGACAAAAGGCTTAAGTTACAGCATCAGGGATTTAGATAAGAGAAAAGGAAAAATTTTCAGACAGTGAGATTTGGTAGACACTGGAATGTGTAACTGGGGAAGCTAGTGGAATTTCCTTTTCTAGAGGTCTTTTAAAAATAGAATAGCATCTCATCTGCCTAAAGGATGGACTCTATTTGACCTTTTAAAGTCCACTGAACCCAGAAGGTACTCCACACCTTAGAGAAAGAAAGTATGAATGTTCCTGGGTAGCTTGAGTAATGAAAATAGGGTGAGCACGTTTTATATTTAATTTGATTTCTATATGTCACATATGTAAATTATGACTTATATTTCTTTTTTTCCTTTTGGTTGAATGTTTTCATTTTTAAGATCTGGAGATTAGGGTTTAAGTAAAAATATTGCAGGGAGGGAAAGATGAATTGTTATCTTACTTCAGAGCATATTTTTATAAGGACACAGGCATGGAGAAAAGTATATTTTGGACATCTTTGATTTTTATTTCATTTCCTATTCTAAATAAAAAACCTCAACACTGCCTTTTCTGTTGGCTTCAATATTTTTAGGGTGAAAAATTTTAAATTAATTTGGTCAAAATGTTTCCTACAGTATTTTTGACAGGACTGGGATCCAAAACTAGAAGAGGTTCTCTGTATTCAATTTCCTCCCAGGAAGTTTATTTTCAAAAGTCCAAGTGTGAGGTCAAGTTTTGGGTTGCCGGAAATGGTAATGTCCTTAACTGTCTGAGACCCAGACGACACTTAATGAAACATCCTACCTTTGAACATTGGTAAGGATTAAAGTGCTTTATCTATTTCCTCTTAATTTATCATCTGTGATTTCTATATTTGGTCTTTTAGAACTCAAATAAAATTATATATAATAACTACTGTATTCTCCATATTTGGCTATAACTGTAGATTCTCTGTTATAGACGACATTCATCTTTTTCCTTCCTAAAAACCAAAGTGTAGTGCAGGCCAAAAGGGATGTAAGCTTTAGAACTTGTTATTTACCTCCAGCAATTCCAAGATATTTTAAACTTGATTTCTTTCTAACTATTTTAGTTGACCTGAGAACGTTGACAAGTTAGAGCAGTGAATCGTAATGTCTCATAGTTGCATAGCTCTTCATATTTGTCAAAGTGCAAACTCATCTAATATCTAATTTGATCTTAATAAGAACCCCATGAATATCAAAATCTTCTAGATGAGAAAATGGAGTCTCAGTAAGGAGATGCAGCTTGCCCAAGATTACAAAACTAGAAAATGCAGAATTGAAACACTTCTGGTTTCAAAGCCTGTGCCTTTTCCACTGTATCACTTTATGCCCTCTGTGAAAAGTTGTGATTTCCTGGTGTGTTTTTTTTTTTTTCACCATTGACGAGATCTTTGCCTCAGTTTCATTCTGAACCAAAATTACGTTAGAGAGCATGACAGTAATGTTATTATTACCAAGTGGGAAGTTGGGCTAGTGTTCTCATGAAGTAAAATACCAACGGTTTTTAAAAAACCTACCAATCCACATAATAAGTCATGTAAATTTCTGATAAGGCACTCCATATAGAGATTAATACCTATTCTAATTCATGCCTGCTATTATTATTAAGCAATATTTTTTTTTTTATTACAAAGCTTACTTTAATTATTGCATCTGTCTCTGACAGAATATTGAAAACAACTCCCACAATCCCTGGCTCTCTGTCCTGGGTGTCTCTGGGAGTACAGTGGCTTTATTTCCTTCCCTAACAGTTCAGAAGTTTGCTTAATACTGACTCAGAGGAAGCATTCTGGCTGATTCCTCACATGGTCTTGTTTACAGCTCCAGAGTGCACATAATAGATAAGCTACTGACTTCCACAAGACACCCACACTTCCTGGGTGTGTGGGTGTGTGCGCTTGCGCCTGTGAATTAAGATTGTGCAATCAGGCTGCTAGCTGCCTCAGGTTGCAAAATCATTTACATCTCTTAAATATTTCTCTAGCAAACCTAATTTCATAAACCAAAAATCGTTGTATTCAATGGGAGGTATGCTGATAACTAATAATTAACACTGAAAAGCCCAAAAATTTATAACAAGATCAAACCTGATATTGAGGCAGAGAGTAGAGAAATTTGCCTAAGAAAATATTGTGAAATAAAGTTGCAAATAGCCATAGATGAACACTGTTCAATCTGTAGAATTTCTCTTCTTGATTGCAATTATACTAAACTTACAGAGAGCCTAGTTTGTGGCAAGAATTTTGTTAGGTCGGCATCATCTTATTTGATTTTAATGGTAGCCCTGAAAGATAAATATAGCTAAAGCACTTTTGTAGAAGAAAGAAGATCAGAAAATTCACAGGAATGTGTTCTGTGTTGCACTGATGGTAAACGATAGAGTGATGAAGAGGACTAGGACTGTTTGACTCCAAAAACCAACTATATTCTTTCTACAAATTTCTCTTTTCTTAATTTCCTAATATTAGGGGGTTAAGACTAAAGACATTTGGAGGACAATGATGGGGGGATGAGAATATCTCCATTAAACTCTTGAATATTTTAGGGAAGGTAGATCCAAGGCAGAAGCATCACATAGAACTCAGATCATTCTTACCAGGAGGTGAGAATGTGTACACAACTATGTATGTAATCTGTTTTAGGAATAGTAATGAAGTGATTAAATCTATCACGAGCAAGTATTAAACATTAAAATCTAGAAGCAATTTTCTACTACCAACTTTTTGCATCAAAACTATGCAACCTTTACCATTTCAGGATATGCTTACCAAATTTAAGCATTATTTTATAACCCTTAGTTTTACAAGTCATCATAATTCTTTCTCTTTTTTTCTCTCATTTCAGCTGCTGTTGCTTTTGAATTATCAGGCATGCCACATACCACTTTTTCAATGAATAGCTTTATTTTTGCAAAGTGCATGGAATGGAGTTTGTGGGGATGTAGACTACAGGCACTGAAAGACCTAAATGAATGTGTATGAATGACCACAAGACACCAGACGTGGGCGTATTTATCCGTTTGTCTCATTACTAAGAGGTTTTAGTTCCAAAAAATATCCGGAAGGATTTAGTTTTGGGGAAGTGGAGAGGGAGAAGGCATGGAATAAGAATTTTTAAACAATTCATTTGAGCTTCCAAGTGATATATTCTATTTTACTCACATTAGAATCAGGATTTCTTAAGGGACAGTTAAGATTTTTGTACCAGAGTTCACAGGCCTTAGAAAGTTGATTTTGAAATTTAGTATGTTAACAAGAAGACATTTTTATTACAAAGGAAATTGGAAAGTGGAAAGTTTAAATGTTAGTTATTAAAAAAGCAATTAAGACTTTTTTTTTGGCTGAGAAATATGTTTGTCTTGGTAGTATGTGCTCTGTTCCATTTGCAATCTAATTGTGTTGATGCAGTTCTAGCTAATGTTCTCCTCCTTAAAAAATCTTATATTCCATGGGAGGTATGTTGATAACTAATAATTAACACTGAAAAGCCCATGAGTTTATAATAAGATCAAAGCTAACACTGAGGCAGGGAGTGGAGAAATTTGCCTAGGAAAATTTCATTAACAGAGGATAAATGAAGCTCTTTTTCATTCTTTTTAGAGACGGCATAGGATACTGGTGAAAATATTCAATTCTGGAGTCAAATTGTTCAGGTTAAAAATCCAAGCTTTGCCTCTATCAAGTTTTGTGAGCTTTGGTAAGTTAGTTAACCTCTCTGTACCTCAGTTTCTTTATTTGTAAAATTGGGAATATAATAATAGTACCTATTTTGTGGGGTTATTATGAAGATTAAAATAAAATAATCATGATAAGCACTTGGCACATAGCAAGAGATAAATAAATGTGATTCTTTTTAAATTTGCATATAGTAAAATTCACCTTTTTTGGTGTACAGTTCTACAAGTTTTAATACATGCATAGATTGTTATAACCACCAACATGCTGACAAAAAAGGATAGAGAATAATTTCAATACCCCAAAGAATTTCCTTATGCTGCCTCTCTGTAGTCAGATACTAGTGCCCTCACTCCCACACACACCCTAGATCCCTGGCTACCATAAATGTGCTTTCTGTCCAAATAGTTTTGCCTTTTTTCAGAATGTCATATAAATGGGCTCATACTGTTTGTTATCTTTTGAGATTGGCACCTTTCACTTAGCATCACACCATTGTGGTACAACCTGACATATAGGATCTTATTAGAAGAGCTTACTTCATGGAAAGAAATTTAGGTGGGGGTTGTTTTTTTTGTTTGTTTCTGTTTTTGTTTCTTTTTTTTTTCTTTTTCTTTCAGAATCATTAAAGGGAAGAAAAAAACTCAGATTAATACTATGCAAAAGGAGAATTTGGCTTAGTATGAAAAAAGAATTTTTCAGAATTATCGAAATATCAAATAGGATCATCTTCAAGAAGAAATTATTTCTCTGTCTTTAAGGGCATAGAGACAGAAGCTGAAGGGCCATTTGGAAGGTAAGGTATAAAAAAATAAGAGTCAAATATAAATTAACTGAGAAAAAAAGTGTTGATAATGGTGGCGTGTGGTGTATTTGTGCGTGTCGGGGAACTTGGAGTGAGGCAAGGTATTGGAAAGTCACAGATAATCCCAAATAATCTGTAAATGTAACCATATTAGTACTGTGTCATGTGGGTATAAGTAAACTGTTTTGGGGTACAGAGGGGACTTGGACAGTAATCACTTCCTTAGCTGAACTACATACATGAGGAGGTTAGGCAGTGGCTATTATACAAGAAGTAAAAGAGGCTTTCGCATGGTGATGAGAATAACTGGATTTGGAGTCTTCTTTCTATCTGAAAATCTATGATCCAGTTTTAAAAATGAGGAAAAATAATATCTTATATTTTGAAGTATATTCTATAATGATATTTCTCTTTATGTATTTGTTATTATTATTAATGGCGATAATACTTTGCATCCACGGTTATTAAAGGAACTTAGCAAGAGGTTTAAGAAAGGAAAACTAAGCTATGGAAAGGCCTTAGAATCAGAGGACCTAAATTAAAATTTCAGTTCTGGTTCTTAGAGTGGCTTAATCTCTCTCTGTGTTCTTTGGTGAATTCAGAATAATAATACCAATTTCCCAGCACCTGGCACATAGTAAGAGATAATGACAAACTGAATGCGCAAATGGTTATTTGTGTTCATCACATGGTAGGCATTTAAAAGGAGTTTGAGGAATTAAAAGAAAATATAATTGAGAAGCACTTATAATTTCAAGACTAAAGTATAATAAGAAAAAGTATGGCTTTATTTGTCCTTGGTAGTTTTAGAGTTGGATACACATGACTATTTTGTTTACATTCTACTCAGTCTTATCATATAAGTATGAATTTAATTAGATCAACAGAGAATACATTAAATGAATTAAATTTAAGTGTGGGATGGGATATAGATTTTCATGATAGTTCACACCTAAATATATATTGCCTTTATACCATTCTTCTTTCCTTTTGATTGTTCTCATGTTAAGGCTAATAAATCCCTCTGGAGATTTCATTGTTCAAAGTGAAAGAAGTCAAGCTGGCCTGAGAAATTGTTTGTACCTGCTTTATGTTAAAACTAACTCTCTCTCTCTCTCTCTCTCTCTCTCTCTCTCTCTCTCTATCATCTATCTATCTATGTCACTTAAACTGTTTTTCTCTGACCTGAGAGAAATGCAAATGTGAGCAGTTGGGAAGTCTGTTCAACTAGCATTCAACTAATTTATTAGCACTCATATAATTTACTCGCCATGGCTGTATTATTCCATTATGAGACTGTCATCTTTTACCTTTTCAGTGTTTTTTTTTTTTTCTTTCTGCGATTCATTTGAAATTCAGTTCAACTCATGAAGTATATTTCTATTGAAAGTTTGCTCCTAGTTATGTCTCACATGCTGGGACTTATTGACATAAGGGGTGAAGACAGCCACACCAAGAGAGGACAGCAGAGGTTTGGGAAGTCAGCTAGGAGTCAGTGCCTGGTTGGGCAGAAGAGAGGAGCCAACATTGATAAAACTGAAGACTGGTGATTATGAGAGCAGCATGCTCATCTGTAGGAAGCCACAAAGTTGTTAAAGCAGGAGAAGAGAGGGCGAGCACTCTAAATTACTGCTGGAAGCTTTGCTGCTTCTTCAAGTCCCAGCTGGCTTTCATCTCTCCTTACTGCATTGGTGGTGCCCCTTCCATCTTTTTAAAGGAACAGATTATAGCTTCTGATAGAGAAGAGGGTTTACACAAAGCTTACTTGTTGAAAGTATTCTTAAGGATGACTCTAAGCATAGTATCTGCCCTATTTGTTTACGATCATGATGGAAATTTCTCTTCTACTCAGTTTCTCATTATACAGATGAAGCCAAGCTGATAGTTACTAAAAGGCACAAAATGATGAATTTGATTTTAGTCTATCCCATGCTTCAGTCAAATTGACCATATAGAATTGAAGTGAATTGCAGAGCTCCCAAAAGCTAAACAAGATCTTTTGGTTGTTTTTTAATTCCCTTTAGCATAGCTAGTAGGTTATACAATATCCATTTGTCCTAAAATTACTGCAGAAATCACCAACAGAAGACATGGAAAACATCTCTAGCATCTTACTAATGAATTTATTATTGCTTTCATTTCACAGTGTCTGTCAGCCACCTCTCACCTACATTTGAACGTTACAAGAACCCTATGATATAGATATTATAATCTACATTTTGCAGTGGAGGAGACAGGATCAGAGAAGATAAGTGCTTTATCAAAGGACACAGTCAGTAAACAAAACCACATTCAAAATCTTTGTACACTGACTCCAGAGTCTTTTAGAGTATATAGCTTTTGTATAGATAATGATGATATAAATGATATACACTAAAATGAATCTATTATCCATTCTATAATAATCTCCTGCCCTCTCCTTTTTTCTCTCATTTCCTATCCTAGTTTGTTTAACAAATCTATCTCTATTCATCAGATACGAAATCATATTAATATGGTGTAGACACAAAATTCAACAATAAGAGGGAGAGATGTTATCAGGAAGGTCAGAAACACCCAAGAATATGTGGAGAGATTTATTACATGTCAGGAGGTATCTTAAACTGGAAAAAAGAAAAAGAAAATAATGAAAAAAAAAAAAAAGAAGATTGGCTTACTATTTGGAAAATAATTAAGTAAAATCCCAATTGACACCTTAAGCCATACACCAAGATGAAATCCAGATGGATTAGTTAATTTTAATTAAAAGACTTCAATTCATTTTTTAAGAAAAGCATTGATTAATACAAGATACCTTTTCTTTATTAAAATAGAATGAATGTTTCAATATATATATTCAAGTTTGGTGATAGCCTGATGAGATTACATACGTATTGGTGGGGTTGTAAATTGGTGCAAACTCTGGAGAGCACTTAACATTTTTTTAAAGAATCTCGAAGAAGTTAATGCTCTTGACCTTATAATTATTTTTCTAGGAATATACTCTGTGATTTTAGTAAAAATTTCAAAGAAACTACATATATATATTTTACACCAATATAAAAATAGAGAGAATATTACAATAAATCTCTATATACCTATTACTAAGCTTCAGCAATTATTAATATTTCCCAGTCTTGTTTCATCTGTTTCTCTCTCTCTCTCTCTCTCTCTCTCTCTCTCTCTCTCTCTGTTTCTGTCTCTCTCCAGGAATATTTATTTTAAAGCCAATCCAAAGCATCGTATTATTTTATTTGTAAATATTTCTATATGATAAAAGCCTAAAAAAGTATCCAAAGGCCATTATTAAATCTAGGAGAATTGAATGGGTTTACATTCAAGCTTCTTCATTGTCTCAAGAATATCTTTTCGTAATTGTTTTGTTCACATTAGAATCCAAAAGAAGTCTGCACATTGTGTACATTGATGTTGTGTCTCTTAAGTTTCTTCTAATGTATGAGTCCTTCCTTCTTTTTTTTCTTATTATTTGATAAATAAACTAGGTTTTTTGTCCTATAGCACATCCCACATTCTAGATTTAGCTGATGTCTTTCTCATAGTATCATTCATTTTTTTCTCTGTCCCTCATACTTCCTGTAAACTAGCACTTAGAATGAGGCTCGGTTAGAGTCAGGCTTATTTTCGTCTTTATTTTTTTTTGCAAGAATACTATATGTGTGGTGTTTTGTATTTCCTGTTGTATCACACCAGAATGAATATAACTTCTGGTTGCCCCACTTTTAGTGATGTTAAAATTGATTTGTAGGTTCTGGTAAGCCTTCTTTAATCAAGTTCCCTACTGACTTTTTACATAATTGTTAGTTATAACATTCATTGCCTAGATTCACTATTTCATTGGGATTTACAAAATGGTGTTTTTTAATTCTACCAATCCTTTTGCATAAATTAACTGAAAATTTGCTATAAAGAAAAGCTTTATCTCTCTAACAATTTGATTACCCTAAAAGAGTTTATGCTGGAAAGGCATGATACATGCTTGATTCTTCCCTTATTTATCTATTTTCAGAGTAATGTGTTAATGCTTTTGCTACCTCTATCTTACTGGTTTATAATAGTGTAAGCTGATAACAACATAAATGTCCAATAATAAAAGATATCCTGTGGTGTAGCTATGCTATAAACATTGTGCAGCCTTTAAATTTCAAAGAATACTTAACAACATAGAAAAATATTCCAGGTAAAATGTTAAGTGAAAAAAGACCCAGAAATGAATATATCTTGTGATCCAAATATTACCTTCTGTTCTACATTTAAATGAGTTTTTATGGTGTTAACCAAAGAATTTTAGAGATTTAAACTGTGCTAAATTCTGTAGACTTAGACATATTTTTCATTAAACATACATTCTTTGTTGACTCATATAATCAGTAGAATGGGGTGTATTAAAATGAGTCATCCTCAACTCAGTTTAACCAGTTCAGAAGACAGCTGAACTGAATTTCCTGTTTTTGTTTTTTCGTGTGTGTGTGTGTGTGTGTGTGTGTGTGTGTGTGTGTGTGTGTATGTGTGTTATCAACTGGTCCATTGGTCCATATCAGATGAATAGATGAATCTTGAGACCATAATCTCAAAATTTTGTCTTCTTGTTTGTCCTTGTTTAATATACTAAATTTGTTGCTTAATTTCAAGATGAATAAAAGAGAACTAACAAACTGGCTTTGATTTTAACAAGTTCTCAGTGATCCCTAAGAAAGTTCCTGATTCTCAAGGAACTTCACAGAGGTCTAGTTTCTACTTCTATAAACAAGGATCCGATGGTTTGACTCTGGGTTATTTTCAATACAATGTTTGGAAAATTCCTGGCACAACTCTCAGCAATTAGCAGGTACTCAACAAATGCTAGTTTTCTCTTCTCTCTTCCTGGAGAAAGGAAAGCAATCGTTTCCACTTTAACTATGTTTTAATATTAGAGACTAGATCCTGGGGTCAAGCTATCTAAATTTAAGTCCAGCTTGACTTCTGGCTTTGAGCAAGTGATATAAATAAACACT